CCCCCCCCCCCCCGCAGCCATGCGGTTCTCAGACTTGCCGAGGGAGCTGGCCAAGGGCGAAAGGGACCCCACCCCGTTATTCCAGACGTCTTACGGCCTGGAAATGCCATTCCCAGGGCACGTTCTGTGGGAGACAGCGCGTCGTTCTGAGTGTTAAGGGCAGGTGGTTGGGCACCGTCCCCTGCACGGAGAGGTCAGGGTTCCATTCCTGGTCAGGGCACATGCCGGGCTGTGAAGTGAGTGCTCGCGGCAGCCGGTGATGTTTCTCTCCCCCTCGCTTCCTCGCTCTAAAACCAATTTTAACATTTTAAAAATATTTTTTAAAAAAGCAGGTGGCATCGACCCCACATCATTACTGAGCATTTGCTTCCACAGCTTCTAAAGGGACGATACTGCTGCTTCATGGGCCTCTCAGAGCCAAAACTTGGGGGGAAATAGGACTCTACAGGGGACCCCGTGAGCACCCTCTGCTGCCCATGTCGGTGCTGACGCAGGCAGGACTGCCCTCCAGGTGTGGCCACCAGGGGCTGCGGCCAGCGGCCACGCTGGCCGAGGCTGACAGGGACACAGACCCCCTCGGAGGAGGAGGTGCTGAGCGGCCTGCAGAGCCTTCAAACACAGGACACCCTACTACTGGGCAGATCCTGTGGGGACAGTGCCACCTAGCGGCCACAAGAGTGCCTGGAGCACGGAGGGAAGTGGATCTGGCTTACCCACAACCATTTAGCCCCTCTCATCTCTGTCCTGTGAAAGGGGCGAAGTCCAAGTGTTTGGAGCTTAAACGACCTTCAGATGAAGTGATTTGTCCAAGGTCTGTCTGTCTCTAAGGCACAGACAGACGGACACACACATGCACCAGGTGAGAGTGAGCAGACCAAAACACAGCAAAGTAACAGAGGGGAGCTGTGGGAGCCCTGGGGGACCCCAGGCTCGAGGGTGGGTGCCATGCTCCCCCCCTTGAAGCTTTCCGAGCCCAGGACCGGCACTGTTTGGGTAGGAAGGGCCCACGCACTGGTCACAGCAGATGTGCTTTCGAGGGGGCAGGAGGGGGGGCGACGGGGGGGGGGGCACCCTGACCTCCGCTGAGGTGCCCGTCCTCGTGGACCCCTGCTTGAGGCCCTTCCTGGTGGCCCAGGCCCAGTCACCCCCTGAGGCCCCCACCCTGTGGGGCCCGTGTGTACGGCAGCTTCACCCTGGCTGCCCCCACAGCCCCACAGCTTTCCTCCTTCAGACACAGGCGGGGGGGAGGGGGGGAGCAGGCCCTGGCCCCCACGTCACACTCCCAGGCTCCGGGGAGAGTCGGGTCCTCCCAGACGCCTGCCCAACCGCACCTGCTCCTGGCCACCTAGCAGCAGGGACTCCACCTGCAGAAGGGCCGCCGGAGACCAGCCACACTGTGCCAGACGACCATCCCCGTCCGGGCCAGACCCGCGCTGAGTCCTACCCACGCGGCCCGGAGGGGCACGGCGGGGCCGCAGCGGCACTGTGCCGAAGGCTCCCAGTGACCAGCGTTGGGACAGGCGGTGGGGGGCGGGACACGGTCCCGCTGGGCTTTGCCTGAGACACGGTCATTCTCGTCC